TAAAAACCAAAACGACAAAAGAGCAAAACGCTGCATGTTGGTGTGTTTTCAGTCATAAAAACAGTAATTAAGTCGATCAGCGTCCATCAGCCTCTCCGGCCTCTGACATTCTGCTGGACTAAACCTTCCCTTATTGAAAGCATTTCAACCTTTCCATCTTCATCGCTGCTTCATTCCGGCGGCAAAAGGTCAAGAATCGACTGCGAGGTCAGCTCTCAACTTATTGGCAAAACATCCGCTGACGGTTTAATACTGAACACGGCAGAAGTAATTATCAGGATCCCTCACTTAATCCTCCACATATGGCTCGTTATGTCTTCTGATGCTAATGCTGGAGCCTTCGGGAGGGTTTTAAACGGAACAAACGGAGGGAAGTTTGGTGTTTTTCAACCTTATGAAGTAAATTAAGCATCCATTGATGTGATTTGTGAGTTTTTTTTAAAACTAAAAATAGTAAGCAAGTAAAAATAGATTGAAAAATAAAACATATTGAGTGAAAACTGCCAGTTTGTAGGTTTTAAAAACAAACGGTTAAACGTGTGCAGCCTGTGGAGCCATGTACAGAAATGTTGGATGTGTCGATTCCTGTTTTTTAATTAAAAGTCAAATAAATAATCACATAAATCCAACTTTTACATCTTTTGAGAGAGCAAAAAAACGACGATGTGGGCGATGATGCTGTGAGACTATCGGAGGAAAACACTTTAGTTTGAGCCGGTCGTACCAAACCTTTGTTATTTCATCACCAAATTTTTCTTATTTCTCGTTTTAGCACGTTATAGAGAAGCTAAAAGTAGCTTTAGCCAATTAAAATGCTCATCTGACATCAACAATGGAAGTTCAGTCTCCACTTAACAGCAGCGACGTCAATAAACACCCTAAAAATGAACTGAGCAGGCGGGTTTAGACGCCAAAGCGTTACCCAGAAAGTGTAGAAAACAGAAAACATTCTTTGATTTTCAAGCTTTCTGATGGTCCTCGATCATATCGTGTTAATTTCAGTGTTGTCTGGAAAATCCACCAAATCAAACTTTAAGTTGGTGATTCTGGTAGATTAATCATAGCAACTGGACTCGCTTGAGTTCCTTGAAGACGATGATGGACGAGAGGTGGAACGTCTTCAAGGAACTCAAGCGAGTCCAGTTGCTACAATGAATCAACCAGAATAACCACGACCTGGAGGACCGAGAAGCTTCACAGACGTCCTAACTTGGTGATATTCTTGGTTGGCTGTTGAGGAGAAACAACGAAATCTAAATCTTCAGAACCACGGGGTCGTTCCACCTCATGACCATCTGGGATTGGGTTGGATAAACACTGGAGACTGAACTTGTATTGGTGATGTCGGGTGAGCTTTTTAATTGGCTGAAGCTACTTTTAGGTTCTTCTATAACGTGCTAAAACGAGAAATGAGCAAAATTCGGAGAAGAAACAACAAAGGTTTGGTACGACCGGCTCAAACTTCCTCCAATAGTCTCACAGCGTCATCGCCCCACACTTCATGTCCGACCTGGTTCTGGAGTCATTAGCCGGAGCGCTGCCCAGACCCCTTCAGATAGAAGCATCAAACATAATGTTCAATAACGCTGTAAAACAATACGTAATGCGCTCATTTAAAAACACTTCGCAGCACATCAGCAGCAATCTCTGTCTGGCGCGTTCAGGAACTCTCAGTGCGGCGACTCTGAACTCTCTCTGACCCGAAGCTTCCATCTCGGCCTCTAAGTGACAAATAACGGCAGCTGCGAAGCTGCTGGCAGGTACGACTGCAGCGCGGCGAGGACCCGGCCAGATCCTCGGCACTTTGAGCGGATGCCAGAAGGTGTTTGGCAAGTCAGCAGTAAGGATGAACACTCAGCAGCTCGCATCCTCGCTCAGGATCCACCGGAGTGTATTTTAAGAAGGCGAGCAGATAAACGGACGGATCGCTGAACCGGGCCGGAAAAATGGCCTCGGAGGCGTTCGGCCTAGTGTCATGTTTTATTTATTTGAGAATCTATATGCATCGTTGTCTACGGTGTATTAGCGACATTAGCGGGCTATTGTTGCCAAGACACGAACAAAAACAGCAAAAAAAAGGCTGACTGTCTTTCTGAGATGTTGCAAAAGATGTTTATACAGTCGGAACCAGAAGTTTATGTTCAAACAAATATACGTGAGTACAAACGCCATGAGACCGTCCAGCCATCACAGCGCTCAGGAAGAAGACATCACTCCAGAAGAACCATAGAAAAGACAGATTACAGTTTGTAGATGCACACAGGGACAAAGAGCTTCATGAGTGGAGACATGTCCTGTGGTCTGATGGAACCAAACCTGAACTGTTTGGCCTTAATGACCATCGGTACATCTGGAGGAAAAAGGAGGAAGCTTGAAGCCTGAGAACACCATCCCAGCTGTGGAGCACGGGGGTGGCAGCATCATGCTGTGGAGGGACTGGTGACCTTCACACAATAGATGGCATCATGAGGAAAGAACATGATGTGGAGATACTGAAGCAACATCTCCAGACATCAGCAGGAAGTTACAGCTTGGACACTAATGGGTCTTCAGATGGACAATGACCCTCAGCATAGCTCCAGATTAGCTACAGAGAGGCTTCAGGACAACAGAGTCAGTGTTGTGGAGTGGCCATCACAAAGCCCTGATCTCCATCCTGGAGAACATCAGTGGAGCAAGGAGACCAACAAACCTGACCCAGTTCCACCAGTTCTGTCAGGAGGAATGGGCCAGAACTCATCAGACTGTTGTGAGAAGCTTGTGGAAGGAAACCCAGAACGTTTGACCCAAGTCATAGAGTTTAAAGGCAACGCTAGCAGATACTGAGGAGATGGATGGAAACTTCTGACTATAGAAATAATGTTGGTGAACCTGACTGAGCTGAAACAGGAAGAGTCTGGTTTAATGTCACACAGTGAGAAAGAAAAGGTTTTCTGTCTTTTTATATAAGGATGTAAACTTCTGGTTTTAGCTGTATTCATTAGAGGCTTTTAGGTTATTTAATAATTTATCATCGTCTATCTCAACTATCCTCCTCCATCATGTTATTTAATCTGTACGATGCTGGACCTGGGTGATGAATGTCATCATCATAAACTGATCCAACGAAAATGCTAATTCGCTTTTTCTACATTAACCGCTTGTGGTCAGAAGGTGGCGCTACAGACAACACTACAAATTACTGTAATGAAAACAGAGCAGAAGAAAAAACAAACAAACTTTGTCCATGTGGGAGACAAAAATGGAAAAAGGTTGTAATTATTCTTTCATGTTGGGAAGCATCTGATCGTTAGCGCCCATCGTTAGCGCTTTAATTGTTCCGGAAAAGTTCAAATCTGGATCAAATCAGCTGGTTTCAACTTCGGCAAATCTGATATTAAAAGCATTTATTTCACAGTTTTCCAGCTAAGTTTTGGTCACACAGAAGTTTACAGAAGTTATATCAGAACAACTTCTGGAAAAAGACTTTACAAACCAGCTGAAACCAACAAACCAGTTTTATTCTTCAGAATCTGCATTCAGGTTTTCTGTTGTCATCTCCAACCTAAAGGAACAAATCTGGGGTTTAACACGACAGTTTGCATCAATCTGTCCGAGTTATGAAATGATGTTCGACCAACAAACCGCGCTGAGCTACAGGAATTAGCTTTTCAACAGCATCATTAATTAGC